TCGGCCGAATATTGGCGCGACGTTGTGCCGATTCGGTGGCGTAGCCGCAGCAGATACCGTGGCTTCAGAGCGAGTGGTAGCAGTAGCGGCAACGGTGGCGGTGCGCGTGCCACTTGATGCTGCTCGTTTTGCTGCGGGAAGAGGCGACTCTGCTGCTTGCGCCGCTGTTGAAGAAGCAGCAGCTATGCACGTGACATCCGATGCCGTTCGCTTGGATGTTGAGGGAGCAGGGCTGGTAGCAATGCCGTTGCCATCGTCGTCATAATCGTCAGACCCAGGGGCACATGTACTTTCAGCAGCCAGCGGCACTCGCTTACGCCGCAGTGTACCCGAGGCTGAGCTTGCAGCCGATCGCGCCGGAGAGGAGGTTGAACCCGAGGCCGATGGTACTGGCACGCAAATGATCGAGGCCGACGGGGTTGGCGTGTGTTTCGTGGGGGTTGGCTGTGCTGCTGACTGCATGACTGGCTGTGGCGTGCTCTCGCCCTCTGCCAACTTGGTTTGCACCGGGCCACGCGCCTCTTGCTGTAAAGGCGCCTCGTCATCAGCATCAGAGACCATGGGTGAAGCTGGCACCGACATGGATGCTGTAGCTGCCTCATCAATCCAAGCAGCACTCGTCTGCATCTGTGGCACGGCAGCATCCGTCATTGGCCCTGCATTTGTCGCCACCACAGCCGTGTCCTGGGCACGTGGAGTGCTTCTGCTCGACTGCGCCGCAACGGCAGCTCGTCCTGAAGACGCTGCCGTTTCGACGTTTGATGCTGAAGCTACATCCAAAGCGGACTCTGGCCCGATCGATTCTTTTTCCTCGAGCCGTGCTGCAGGTGGCTCAGACAACACATCTTCCTCCTCCGCCATCGCCTCGGGCTCTGCTTCCACATGCGCCACACTCAACGCTTGGGCAGCGCGCTGCTGGCGCGCAGCTCTTGCTGGCTCCAGGCGCTGTGCTGTTCCTGCGCACACGTCACAAAGCGGCTGGCCGGCAGCAAAGCATGTCGCGGCGCGGGGATCTAGCAACTTGCCGAGCGCCCAGCTGCGGCACGCACTGCCCTCGACAAACTTTTCCATGCCTGGTGCTGGCCCACGTCTCACTGGTAGCCACAGCTCGGCAGTTCCACCCTGTTTATCGCGACCAGCCCGACCAAAGGCCTAGCCCAAGCACATGTACACCATCAGCAAAACCAATTATTTTCAAATCCATCAAGTCACACGACCGCTTGAGCAACAACGTACCTGGGCCAGCGTATAGACGTTGTAGCCGTTGCCATACCACAGCACGTGGCGAATGGTGAGCAAATCCACACCCGTGCTGAGGCAGCTGGTGGCCACAATGACGTCGCATTCACCCCGTTGCCACTGTGCCACATGGTCCTTTTGCGCCTTCTCCTCCAGGTCGGTGTAGTAGGGCAAGGCCATGTAGCCGTATGCGTGCAGCTGGTCACACAGCAGCTTCACCTCGTTCACGGTGTCACAAAAGACCATCATGTGCACACGCTCCCCATTCGCCTGACGCATCATCCGCTGCGTGTCCACAATGGCTTGCACATGCGACAAAAAGTTTAGCTGGTTTCCGTGAAGCACACGCAGCTGCAGATCGCGACGCATCGTCTCCAAACGGTACACCTTGCCCCCGACTTGCTGCCCCAGCTTTCGAAACAGATGCTCCTGGTCCCCGATGCAAAGTGTGCCCGTCAACGCCACGCGTTTGATGTTGGTCCATCCGCCAGAACCCACACTGGCTGCGACTTCGTCCATCACATCTCGGTAGCTGGCATCTGAGATGAGGGTGTGCGCCTCGTCCATCACCACGGTGCGGATGCGCTGAAAGCAGACCTTCCCGTGTAGGGATTCAGATCCCACGCGGACAAACATGTCGCTCGTAACGATGAGCACGTCCAGGCCATCTGCCACCTGTGTAGAGGGACCAAGCCATCGCTGGGCACTGTGACCTGCGCCTTGAAATCGCCGCAATAAATCGTTGGCCACGGCCACAAACGGCACAATCCACAGCAGCGTACAAGCATGCGGGCGACAGCCCAGCTTGGGCAGGGTACAAAATGTTTTACCCATGCCTGTCGGTGCAACAACAATTAGCCATCCATCTTCCGGCCGGTGCTGGTCAATGGCCACAGCCAGGTCCAACTGTTCTTGGCTGTTGAAACTGTGGCCCCACGAGATGCTTGCCTGCTTGGCCAGCTGGGTCATGTAGGGTACGTCATGCTCGGCCCTCGTGTTCATGATGATACGCCCGTTTGCCTCGGGCGAGAGGTCAGTCACCGGGTTCCAGCTGATGGGATAGCGAGCTTCCAATGCTTCTTGGTTCGCGGTCAACTCGGCTATGCTGCGCTTGCGATCTAGTCCAAACAAAGCATGCCATTTTTGCGAGGCCACTTGATGCATCAGTCGCGACGACATTTTGGTTTGCACATGGTCACTGGCTGTGCGCGCATAGGCCCGCTGGGCCGTGCCCCCAGAGTGTTGAGCTTGAGTGTGGATCAGGCTGCCCAGGGCGCCGGTCGTCTCGGCCGACAGTCGGTTGATCACAAACGTCGTCATCCAGAAGGTTGCGGCGTGTCGCCACGTGGCCACTCCCAGCTTTGGCCGATGCAGGTACGTGGTCATTTGTCGACGAAATGCCGCATAAATGGTGGCTGGGCTGACCATCGTCTGCAGGGGCGCAATGTTGAAGAGCAGGTGGCTGTTGTTGTAGTGGTTTCGAGCGTCCCGAACCTCGCGTCGCAGAGTCATCGTCTCGTTGTGGCTCATGTAGTCGAGCAAATCTTCGTCGTCCTGCTCGGCATTGTAAATGCCATTCTCGTCGTCCAGCCTGCCCCGCTTTTGCAGCATGTGCTCCAGAGGCTTGCACAGCAGTAAATACATGAATATCAGCGTGCTGATTTCCTAATCCATGTATAGAAAAATATGCTGTTCGTTCAGGGATAGCCAGTAGGTCTTGCTCAAGCGGGTCAATATGGAGAGCTGCTTCTCGGCAAAAGACGCGGCTCGTTGCCGGCCCACGCCGTTTTTGTAGGACAGCCCTTGAGAGGCTCGTGGCGGCAAACCTAGATCCAGGCATGCATGCGTGAGTGGCGTCCATCAGCACCAGCGGGCACAAAAAAAAAAAAAAAAAAAGCCCGCCTGATTCCAATCGTACCTCCGGCAATGTGCGTGTAGGTGAGTGCTAGCTCGTTGAACCTGCACACATATAAAAGCCATGTCCGCACCCTGTCCTCGAACCCATGCTCTGTACTTGTAAACTGGCCACGAAAAGGGGCTGGCGTGCCAATGTTGAGAATGTTTTTGATCAAACGAAGCAGGATTTGGGCAGTATTTTACGCCATTGTGTATTCAGCAGCGGTTGCAGCCATCAATGATGGACTGGCCTACCAGTACCAGTAGGGTGCCGCGTCGAGAGGTAATTATTTACAAAGAAACAAGCATGCTCAAAACCAGGGTAGGCATGTGGCACAATTTGAGCCAGCCGCTCAAGCCAACCACAGCCATTTGGCAGGCAAAGACCCCCCCTCCCCCCACGCGCGCCCAGCAGATCCCTGTCATTGCTAGCTGGCGAGCATCCCAACTTCTTGACACGCATTGACTTAGGCTGGTAGTTGGTATCAATTATAATCCGACCATTCAAACAAGCATGACCAAATGATGGCCCGATCGAGCGTCACATGCAACTACAGCCCAGCGTCAACCCACAGTCTTAATAGTCACGTGCTGGTTTTGCCCTCTTCAATCGAATTGAGCTGGCAAGGAGACAAATCATTGAACAGACTTTGCGAAGAATGAGCAGAAGTGCTAGTGCTCGAGGTTGCGCGAGCAGAAGTGCTAGTGCTCGAGGTTGCGCGAGCAGAAGTGCTAGTGCTCGAGGTTGCGCGAGCAGAAGTGCTAGTGCTCGAGGTTGCGCGAGCAGAAGTGCTAGTGTTCGAGTTTGAGCGAGGTTTGCAGCGCGGTGGACTACCAGACGCCGCGAAGGCCATCTTCACCTCTTCGAGGCCAGTACACTCATTGCACAATTTGATCGCATTATTGAATTGCAACTTCTCCAACGCCTTGACCAATTTCGCACGGGCACCATTTGCCACAAGAATGCTCTCAGCCACGCGAGCCAATGCATAGCCATCATGAGACTTTTGTAGCGGCAGATTTTGCCGAGCTTTGGGGTGACGGAACTTCTTGAGACTGCCTGCGCAGTTGTAACCAGACACATACTGTTCGCCTTCATTCCGACTCAAGTCAAAGTCAATCAGGAAAGCCACCGGCTCCTCTGCTGTCGCTTCTTCAGTTGCCGCATTTGCTTCCGCTGTAGGCGCTGGCGCCGCTGAGGCCGCGTCCATTGAGGCTGCTTTCACTGAGGGCTTTCTCTCTTCTTGCGAAGGCGCTCGGCTTGGGGATGGCGTTTTATCCTCGTCGTTGGTTTGATCTTCCATCTTCCAGCCTGGCGGCTTGGTCATCCAATCCTCCAGCTGCCAGCTGTTGCAAAAAAGTATGTTGCGGAGCAAGATGTCGCCGTGCACAATGCCAAAATTGTGCAACGCTTGCACCTGCTCAACAACGCTGGCCAGCTGTTTGTGCGCATTGCGGCCGCATGGAGCTGTCTTCACCCGCGGGTATCGGAGGAGCTTCACACCCTCCGCGAGGGTGTCCACCACCCACGCCTTGTAAAACGTGCCAGTCTTTTCCAACGCGCCAAGCGCTTCCAGCACCTCGAACGGCGGCTCGCGAACATCAGTGGGAGCAATCTGATACAAACATGTGCTCAAAGCCCCAGATCGGCGACCCCAGTAGTCGTAGTGCTTGATGACCCACGACTCCGACTGACGTTCGTAAACCTGCACGTTGGGCCCGTACGCGGCGCTACATGTCCAACCCTTCATGCCCCGATCCGGGCAGGGAAAGGGCTCGCAGTCGGATGGCAGCTGAAACTTGTTGCCACGACGGGCTTCGATGATACCAGGCAGGCGATTCGTGACAAAATCCTTGCAGGCTGTCAAAAGCGCCCAGACAGCCCGCTGGTCGTTGGCGTCGGTCGAAATTTTGGCGGATCCAAGTCGAAGAAAGGCCAGAAAGTATGTCTTATTTGCTTCGCGCAAGTCAAACATGTCTGCGACCACCTCAACCTCCTTTGGGCGCGTCACGTGCAGGACCAGATAGGCGGTCACAATGTCCTTACACACGTTGATGTTGGTGAGAGGATAGAACAGGTGTTGCCTTTCCTGTCGCATATCGTATTTCGTCGGCAGGATGCCAAGCCGCACAACCTCGTTGCCCACTTGGCCACCAAAGTTGTCAAAGTGCTTGCGTTCCATTTTGCACTCGCCCATGACGACCGGATGCCACTGGGAGTCAACTCCCACCCAGTCAGCGTGCGTGGCGCCGCTGCCGATTGATGCCTGGTGTGAAAAGCGCACGACCTTCCTGACTGGTTCCTGCTCAGGGCTGACTACAGTCGTGACAAAGTGCTCGTGCAAAGCCGGTGTAATAACCGTCGAGAAGTAAGGCTCGTGCCTCAGGGTCGCGTGCACGTGGCTGAGGCACGAATATGCGGATATCAAATCGGTATGGATGCCTTCTTGAGGCAGAACGACATCAGGAGACAACAGCGCTTCAGCTTGCTGAACGATCTCAAGGGCCAAGTAATGAGAGCTCGGAGGCAGCACCACAATGCCAAAGATCTTGTCATTGCTGTTGATGTCACTAATCCTTGGAGTCTCGGAAGGTGGCTTCTCAGGCAAATAGCCTGCTGCCTCACTTGGAGACGCCTTTCGAACCCAAGTGTGCCCTGAAAAAATCAATATAAGTAACAAAAAACATTGACAGTGGTCAATTAGAGCATCCAGAGGGCACAGACGGGCAGGCGGGGCAGTCTGTCGACTTTCAAGCCCGAGCGAAGCTTTACCTGTAATGGACAGATAGGTCTGAAGAAAGTCACTGTTGACTAGGTGATGCTGGTATCGATAGCACAGTAGAGAAAATTGGTCGGTTGACATGGTTGCTAGACGATCCAACAGGTTATGGCCTCGAGGAACCTCGAAATGGTTCTCAAGGAAAGTACACTGACAAGCACGCCGACACCGACAAGTGAGAAGAGGCATTGCACCATCCTTCATCCCAGACAATTGCATTGTTGCACAGCGGGTGAGTGAGGGAGAGAGGTCGGGTATTGATGCACCAACCACTTCATTCAGCTTCTCCTTGCGCTCACGCTCCTCCTTCTCCTTGCGCTCATGCTCCTCACGCTCCTGTTTGCATATCTGCACGATAGTGCTCTCGTCGAAATTCAAATCCCGGAGCTGCCGCGCAAGTGCAACCACGTCCAGACCCACACTCATGCTTGTGCGTCACGCGTTCGGCACAACAAGCGGACCCACGGCCAATCGAGCGGCGATCGAGTTGGGAGAACGTGCAAAGAAAGACGAAGAAGAAAGAAAGAAAAAAAAACGGTGATAATGAGTCGAAGAAAGAAAAGAAAAAAAAGGTGACAATGATCAAAAGCAAAGCGAAAGAAGAAAAATGCTCCATCAGCATCGGCTGTACTTCCAAACCTCAGTATTGGATCTAAAAATAGAACAATTGGTGGCTATTTTGCTTTTTTTTGAGAGACATGGAAAGGAATGGAGAGCGGAGAAGAGAGTTGGCGGGATCGAAGAAATCTCAGGGTTGCAGAAAGAGGGATAAACAGAGGTACAGCGAGATGGAGATACAAAAGGCAGAGATTAGTGAGCGTCGAGATTGAAATGCAGTTGCTGTCTTGCTCAATCAATGCCGTTCTGCCTTATGCGCATCCTGTCAACTTTGAGTTGGCGTTGGACGGCTTCTGTCTTTACCCTAACCCCAAGCTCTTTGATTTACACAAGCATCTCGCCTTTCCTTGGCCATGAAGCACGTGATTGATGGATCTCATCAGGGGGGCAAATTATACCGCCATGTAATTACGTGCGTATAATTAAATTGATGATGAGCGCCATCATTGTTTGCAGCGCCCTGCTTTGACTTCTCGGCCGTAAACGCCACAACAAGAACTCGGGCAAACACTCGTTTCGATTCTTGGAAGATAGTACATGAGCTCTTATGGTCACTGTCCTGTCCTGTGTCTTGGCTGTCGTTTGCCCTTTATCATCAGACCAACGTCTGATGATGCCTTTGGACTATGTTATTGTATGCATTGAGCTGTATCTGCTCGCGATAGCAAGTGCTGCTTTGACATTGAACAGTCCAGCGTTTTGATTAATCGACAAGGAACAGGAGTGTTGTTTAGCCATTGCAGTGTTGCTTCCGCGGCACCATGGCTACTTGACGAGCGGGTACGTGTGGGGCGAGCGTAGCTGCGCGGTTTTTGACGAAGCGCGCACGCGTAAGCTGCAGCGCTGGCTGTAACATGCTTGTGTTGGGGTGGGGTAGGGAGCTGACGAATGCAATGGACACGGGGGCAAACTGGTCAAGAGACTCTAGCAGAGGTGATGGCATTGGTGTGCATTTTTCATACTCGATCGTCATGTGCGTGATACCTGAGAGTATTCAATTTTATTTTTTTATCTGCATGCAACACTGCTGCGATTGTCATGGCAGCCTGATACCATTCTTTGTCTGTCATGTTTGACGTGCAAACAGCAGTCATTGCCATATCCATCAAGGCATCCAAGAACCTGCCACTCAGATCTAGGCGTCCAACAACGCTGCGACGCTCAGTTCTTGCAGTGCACAATCTTGAAAAGCGTCTGGCTCCACGCGCCAGCCAACCCCAAATAAGACTGCAATCAAAGCCTTGAAATGATGCTTCTGCTCAGCTGAGATAAGAGCTTGCACTAAACCATTCATTGTACTGTGAACAATGCAAGAAACGAACCATACAACACAAAAGGATACGGTGTCAAGGGATGTTCCTACCCTCCGGATCACTGCTGTGGAAGAAGCCAGGCCGACAACTGGCGCAGGGCAGATTGATAACCAGCTGACGATCAAGCAAGTAAAGTTACATGAGATAAGAAGCATAAAAAGACGGCTGAGTGATCATGGCGTAATTTGAGTCGTGACTCTTACGCTCCGACTAAGATTGAATGAGACTTGACGATCTCACCTTCTGAAATCGAGCTTTGATATGATCTGGGCCGGTGGCTGGCACAAAGCATCTTCAAAACCAGTTCATTTCATCGAGTCAAGAAGCGTGAGAGTGTAAAGAGATCTCGATTGATCCGACGCCTGTTTAGACGACAGCCAAGTGAACTCTCATTCTTCTACAGCGGCAGTCAACTTAGAGGAGATATATACGGGAAAGGTACAAAGTAAAATGACACTTCCGGTCTACCGGACGGTACTCATGTCTCGATGGCGGGAACAATCACAATGTTTCACATGGCTCCTTGACGAGCACCGTGAAGGATAATCAAACATCATTGCCAAAACTGGCGTCTTCCAGTGCTCCAATAGCTTCTGGACATGCGTCTAAGCTTGTAGTCCAATACATAACGGTGCTTCTTGTGCTTCTTGTCTTTTTGTGCTCGCAGTTACTCCGCTTACCCTCCGGCAAGCCGCCCACATCACCAGCTCGCGCAGCGGCGCAGCCGCCAATATTGAGACACCATGGCCATCAGTCGATGTCATGGGGAATGAAGACGGGGCTATTCTTCGCTCTTTTTTCGGTGGTTGTTGGACTGTTCTGCTTCAAACATTTGGCAAAGCTCACCCGGCCCATTGACTTTATTTTTTGTTTGCACAGCGATCCACAAACCAACCCCAAGCGTCACGCATTTCAATTCGTAGATGCAGCTTGAGCGGCGGACGTTAGAGCGGCCACGCAGTCAACAAGGGTTTGTAGATCTTGGATGTTGAACAATTGAGGATCCACGCGCCAGCCGACGCTACAAAAAATAGCAACGGCGCACCGCCAGCGTCTGGCTTGCTCCGCATGAATCAAGCCTTGGACTGGCGCCACGTTGAAATTCGATGAGAACGACAAAGTGCGGACAATCACATGGAAATCGCGTTCGTACCATCGGAATTTGAAGTTTGGTAGGAGCAAGGGGTGCGAATTACGTTCAATAGCACTGCAACCATCTATGAAGTGAAACAGATTCGTCGGTATGCAAGCTTGCCTCTGCAATCAGTACCGAAAATAAAAAAAAAGGCCCACCTCCAGCTCGATGTGAGCCTCGCGAAGGAGCAGATCCAAGGGTCGTACACCGTGCTGCCACACAGCAGGCCATCAGGTATTAACCGCAGGTGCTGCAGAATAGCAGATAAGGTACGGCATCGTGATAATTGGCTTACAAGATCTCTCGCATCTGGGTCGGCACCGTGACTCAAAAGCTGCTGGGCAACCTTTCGGCTGGCCGAGAAGGCGTTGCAGGCTGCATGGAGTGGCGTGTTGCCGCGCTATATACAATCAACTTTCAGAAACATGAGGCACGTGTTCTTTTTTTTTTTTTCTTTTTTTCTTTTTTTGTGGAGGGGGAGGGGGACAAACTGGAGAAACGGCCATTGAAAGCCGCTTGAGTGTGCGAGGGAGGCAGAAGCGCGATGGCAAGGGATGGGGTAGCGTCCAGAATGAAGTCACAACATCGGAAAAGGGAAGCAGGCTCAAGATAGAACGAAACAGAGCGGGGTGCAGGGAGCACCTACAAAACGCGGACGCAAAATGGGGAAGAAAAGGGATGGCGGGAAGGAAGAAGAGGAGCAGGAGGCAGAATGGATGCGAACGCTGGGCAGGGTGTAGAGGAGCGAGAGACGGAGCAAAGGCGACGAGCAGCGGGAGCAGGAGCAGCAGCCAGAAGAAAGAAAGAAGAAGGAGGTACTGTACTGACGTTGTCTCTGGCTTTAGCATCAACACCGTGCTTCAACAGCATCTCCACCACCGTAGCATGACCCTTGAAGCAAGCCCTGTGCAGTGGTGTAATGCCAAGCTGTGGGATGATGCCAGCATTTTACACAGATACATCATCAGCATCATCATGATGTGGTCCCAAAACACGGGGGGTCAAGGGGGGAAAGAGAGAGGTACTGCACTAACGTTGTCCTTGGCTTTAGCATCAGCACCGTGCTGCAACAATATCTCCACCACCTTGACATGACCGTTAATGCAGGCCAAGTGCAGTGGTGTATCACCATGCTGTGGGATGATGCATCAGCATTTTGCACAGGCCCAGCATCATCATCATCATCATCATCATCATCATCATCATCATCATGTGGGACAGTTGTATCATCATCGGGGAAGCAAGGGGGGAAGGGCGGCACTGTACTGACGTTGCTCTTGGCTTCAGCATCAGCACCGTGTTGCAACAGCATCTCCACCACCTTGACATGGCCCTTCATGCAGGCCATGTGCAGTGGTAGAAGGCCCCACTGCGTGATGATGCATACATACAGAGTACATGCCATTGTATATGCCCCATGTTCTACCAAAGTGGAATCAACATCATTTCCAACAGCACATACGTACCATATCTTTGTATTGGGCAGCTTCTTGAATGCGATGTTGGTTCCAACTGGTCAGCAGCTGCAGCGCCTCTTGTGGGTCTGACGAAAAACATGCCTTGTGCAGCTGCTTTCCATCAGCACTCATGGTAACGGTATCTCTCTGTCAGCACCGCCCTATCCGCCACCAATTTCATGAGCCCCCTCCAAGCACAACTCGTCTGGCAACCCCAAAATTCGGGGTGGGACGCGCAGCTTCCGAAACGGCAGCCAGTCAGCGGGCTTGCTCGCCCCTTTTGGTGGGCCAAACGACTCACGTCTGGTCAACTCTTCTCTGTGAAAGTTGCGAGTACAGATGGACTCGTTTGCCCAAGCACACGCAAACGGCTCTGAGGCGCGATTAGAGGCAACGACACCACGGGTCAGAAGAACAAGGGCAGCGATGCTCTCAACCCCCGTCGATCGAGAGTCCAGTACCAAGCACAAGCAATCAGTCACCACAAACAAAGCAGAATACGTCGAGTAGCCCGCTGATGCCAATGTCGACACCGATGCCAAACAGCGATAGGGGGTAGCAGGGAAGAAGAAGGAAAGTGCAGTCAAGACATGTGAATTTTTTTTATTTTTTATTTTTTTTTCTCTTCTTTTGAGAAGAAAAGTAAGGTCTCAATTGTTCACATGTCAACAGGTGAATCCGCGAAACACCAACCAAGAAAAAACAGGAATAACGATTTAAAGACGCCGAAGAACCTCAATCAAGTGAGTGTTGGCAGGGTACCAAGCAATCTTATTGTCACCAGAGCTGGCGCTGAGCACGTCCATGTCACCATCGCCGTCGAGATCGGCTGCGCGAACAAAAGTCACGACGTTGGCTGCAGTCGAGATGATGATTTCGACAGAGAAAGTGCCGTCGCCCTCGTTTCGAAACCATGCAACTTTGTTATCAGCACTGCTACCGCTGATCACATCCACATGACCGTCTCGGTCAAGGTCGGCAGCGTAGACCGAAACGGCTTGGCTCGCAGTGTTCGTGATGATCTTGGGCGGAGAGAAGGAACCGTTTCCATGGTTTTGGTACCAAGCGATCGTGTTGTCAGCAAGGCTGCTGCTCAGGACATCTGGATGCCCATCGCCATCAAGGTCGGCTGCATAGACCGAGGTTGCCCCGTCTGCGTTGGAAGTGATGACGGATCGGGCCGAGAAGGCGCCATTACCCAAGTTACGATACCAAGCAATGGTATCGTCCTCAAAGCTGGCGCTGAGCACGTCGACACGGCCATCGCGGTCAAGATCAGCAGCAAACACCGAGCGCGCACCGTCGGCAGCCGCAGTGATTACTTTTTGATCAGAAAAGGTGCCGTTGCCAGTATTGTGGTACCATGCCACTTTGTCATCGCCATAACTGGCACTCAGAACATCCATCTTGCCGTCGTTGTCTAGATCCACGGCAAACACCGAGGCCGCTCGGGCAGCATTGGCCGTGATGACTGCTTGATGTTGCGCAAAGGAACCATTGGCTTGATTGCGATACCAAACGATTGTGTTGTCAACGGCGTTGGCACTGAGGATATCCAGCCAGCCGTCGTTGTCCAGATCAGCTGCATAGATGGAAAACGCGTGTTTGGCTGTGGTGCTGATGATGTTCTCTGCAGAGAATGTGCCATCGCCAGTGTTGCGATACCAGGCCACCTTGTCATCATTGGCGCTGGAGCTGATGACATCCAGTTGACCGTCACCATCAAGATCCGCCACGGCGACTGCGGTTGCAAACGCCGCGCCAGTCGTGATGATTTTGCTTTCAAACTGAGGCAGATACAGTTCTGGGCTCAATCGCACGAGGGATCGCAACACCGTGGCAAGATCTGCCACATCAACGCCGTTGACCACCACGCGGTTTGAGGCGTTGAGAAAGAGCGTGCCACTGCCGTCCACCGTGATCGATGGCTTGCTATCAGCCGTGACCAACGTGAGGAGCAAGCAGCACAGTCCCACCACCCATGGCAGGCAAGCACCTTGCATCCACCGATCTTGCACTCGCCAACGGCACATCTTCTCCCTTTTCTTGAGACAGAAGCAAAAATCGACCCCGGTCTCGTCCTCTGACACCCCGCACACACGCGCGCGCACCCTACCCCCCGCCCCCGGCCCCGCCCCCCTGAAAAAAAAAATAAAATAAATAAAAACAACACACAGAGAGGCAGTGCAAGTCAAACGGAGCTTCTCCCTGATAAAGTCGTCTAACAAACGAGGAAAGAACAAATGGGAGCGGAGGGGAAGTATTTTACTTCTATTCCATTTTTTTTTTTTTTTTTGTTGGAGCATGGGTCGCGTCTGCTCCTGCTTCTGGCTGTTCGCGGGCAGCGCCCTCCTGGTTTACTGGGCCGCGGTGGCGAGCGGCGTTGAGACGTCCATCACGGTTGATGCGAGTGGGGACCTTTATATCAATGCTAGCAATCGTGTTGTCGTCAACAATGTGGATCTGCTGGCCGCGCTAAGGACGCTGGCCAGAGCGGTTGTTCCGCGCAGGCCCGAGCTGGTGATGCAACCGCTGGAGAGCCACGACATTACCGCCGATGCCGATGGGGCCGTGTCGGTGTACGCAGCTGACTTGGATAATGACGGTGACAACGATGTTCTTAGCGCCAGTGTCAATGACAACAAAGTTGCGTGGTATCGCAACAACGGCGACGGCACCTTTTCCAACCAGCTCATCATCACCACAGACGCCACTTATGCATGGTCGGTGAACGCAGCAGACCTGAACAACGACGGCAATCTCGACGTCCTCAGCACGAGCGCCCGTGACGGCAAGGTGGCATGGTACCGCAACAACGGCGATGGCACCTTTTCCACTCAGCTTGTGATTACCACGGATGCCGATGGGGCCGTGTCCGTGTGCGCTGCCGATCTGGACGACGATGGCGACCTCGACGTCCTCAGCGCCAGTGCTTACGACAACAAGATTGCTTGGTATCAGAATAACGGTAATAGTACCTTCTCCAGCCAGATTGTCATTGCGATTGCGGATCATGCGCGCTCGGTATACGCCGCCGACTTGGACAATGACGGAGATTTCGACGTCATCAGCGCCAGCGCGTACGACGACAGGATTGCGTGGTACCGCAACGACGGCAACGGCACCTTTTCCCCCCAGATCCTCATCAGCGCCAGCGCCGACTATGCGTGGTCCGTCTACGCCGCAGATTTGGACAAGGATGGCGACCTTGATGTTCTGAGCGCCAGCATGTACGATGATAAGATTGCATGGTACCGCAATAATGGCAACGGCACATTCTCTGCACAAATTGTTGTCACCACGAACGCCTCTGGTGCAAACTCGGTGTATGCAGCAGATCTAGATAAAGACGGGTACCTGGATATCCTTAGCGCAAGCATTTCCGACGATAAGGTTGCTTGGTACCGCAACAACGGCAACGGCATGTTTTCTACCCAGATCGTCATCACCACGGCCGCCCCATTTGCGCGTTCAGTGTACGCCGCAGATCTGGACAATGACGGCCATCTCGACGTCCTCAGCGCCAACCTGGACGGCAATGTCATGTGGTACCGCAATCAGCTTCTTCAAAACCTCGGCTAGTTCAGGGACTGTGCCCGCGCCGGTGAGTATAAAGATAAAGAACCTAAGTGCTTTAAAAGCCAGTGTATTGGCAATCATCGGGCTTGAATGGTCTGTTTTGATTTTATTTTGTTTTTCCTTGGGGGGATGGGGGGCTTCATTCAACGCGGAAGCCATAATATTTGCATGGGCTGGCTAGGCCTCGAATGGGCATGAAATTTCGCCTGGCTTGATCCCACTTGTGAACGATGGGCCTTGGCAACCAGACGCGCCACGCGACTGGGAATGCCTACTTGCCGCGTGCTCGATCGCAAATTTAATGAGTCAATGAGTCAGTTTGGAATAAATTCAAATCGAGATTCGGGATAAAGAGGAGAAGTCACACAAGGTTGGGTAGCCTAGGCCTGTCACACACACTCTCTCTCTCTCTATCTCTCGCTCGCTACTGCTGACTATTTGCAAGGCTACTCCGCAGCTCAGCAGGGCTCTGGTGGACGAAAAAGCTAAAGTGAAAGGCTCCATGGGAGAGATCCAGGTGGGCCAAGCCCTCTGATTGACCCTTTTCCAAAGCGTCATGCATGGTTTCAGGATTCATGGAATAGATCCGTGGGGAAGGCAAATTCTGCTTGTGGATATGTTCTTCAATGATGGCAGCATACTCGGCCCAGCTGTGATCGGAATCGCCCGCTCGACGCTCGAACCAGCTCTTGCGGGGGGCACACAAAAACCACATGTCCACATAGCCCTCCTGCACTGCGTCATCGTATTGGTTCAGCAAGCCACTAAGAGGAAGGATGAGGGCCGCGGCTGCCCGGAGGTTTTTATCTTCCGCCAAGGCCCGGGGTCCGACAAGACGCATGAGCATCTTGGGTTTCATATTGGCGACGCAATCACGCGTGGACGTGCTAGGTGGCCCCCGCTCCGACATTGCTGGTTTGGCATGCGTCAGGGGCGGGAGCCCAAATGGCTTGGTCAGGAAGCTTGGATCATAAGGCTTCCTGTCGATGGGGAAATCGGTCAGGTTGGCCGCGGCCACGACGTGCAGCTGGTGCTCATCAACCATGCTCATGATGGCCTCCAGGGCCGGCACACCAGTGTGGGCGAATGGACCAGCCCGTTCATCGTACACGGAGGGGGCATTTTCCACATAGTAGCGATTGATGCCTGCAAAATTGAGCATGACAAGGGCCAAGGCCCGACGCTGCCAGCGCGGAACATCCGTCACGTGGACATAGAGCTCAGCTGCAGCGTTTGCGTTCTAAATTGTGTGGAACGGAGGCCAGGGTAAGCAACGGCAACAGGTCCCAAAGCCTTGCAAACAGGACGCAAGGATGCAAAAAGGTGGCCCTACCTGCATTTGACGGGGGTTGCAATTACTGTAACCCTGTGAAGCAGAGGGTGATGGTGGATCAAGACCACAGCACATAAGGCGAGCCTGCACTGCAGATGCTGCTGTCACAGGGTGGCGGTGGGGGGGCGACATACCGAATCAAAGCCAAATTGATACTGGATCATGCGATTGGAGACTGTGTCTCGATTTGACTCTAAAAAGTCCAGGTACGTCTTGATGACATCGGTTGCTGTGCACAGGAATGGACAAGGTTTCAGCGGCGGTGTGAGCACTTGAAGCGCACGCTTTCGTTTCCTCTTTATGTTATATGTTCATGCGCTGCGCACGCACCGATAGAGTCTGGATCGCGGTTGCGATAAAAGAGTGCTTCGGCAGTTGAGAGATGATAAATGTGATGTGTGCCGCACGCGTAAATAATCTAGAGTCGAGCAAAGAAACAAAAAAAAAAAAAAAAAAAAAAAAAAAAAAAAAAAAAAAATGATGATATTGCTTCCGGCAGCTCGGAGAGTTGGATGGCAGCAGAACATGTTTTACGAACCGACATGGCAACAGACCACTCCTCTTTGGCGGAACGGGCCAGAGGGTCGAATTCAAAATGGCCGGTTGGGCAAACTCGGCAGCGCTCGCAGAGGCCAGTGCGGTCAAAAATGGAAATGTGAGGTTCAGCGACAGCTTCCTCGATAAGGTCTAGCAAATCAAACGGGAAAATTTGAGACAAGCACAACCCGAGCCAGTGAAAAAAACATGCAAGGAGCCCCCGCTGGCACAGGATTGGTGAGAGGGAAACAAAAAAAAAAGGTACTACCAAACCTACCGCCATACTGGGGGAGCTTGGCGAAACGATTCTGGGTGTCCTCCCTGAGCATGTACCCATACTCGGGTCTTGGGGAAATCGACAGGTCGGCTTGGCGAATAAACACTTTGATTAGGGCAGAGTCAACATCCGCACATGGTCAACATCCGCCCCCATGTGCAGATGTGATTGAAAGGGGAAAGTGGTGAAGATCAGGTGAGCACGGACTCGCACATTCAGGCGTGAGGTGAACCAAACACCAAAATGACGTACGGTGCTCCTTGAATTCAAGCTGGCGCCACTGATCCGATAGAATTTCGCTCAGGCGGGATGTCTAGGCGCGTGGAAAGCACGTACCAGCTCGTGAATTTTAGTGTCCACGGACAAGTAAGCATGAGACATGGCTGCAGGGGCCTACCTCCCAGACGCGGGGAGCGATTTGCAAAGGGTAGCCTGGTAGATCGGCAGGTGGGTTTGTGATGGCTTCAAACAGCTTTTTGGCCATTTGATCCTCTAAGGCAAGGCAGTGGGTGGACCAAGCGGGGCGCTTCAGCGCAAGGGGGGGGAGGGGAGGAGAGTGCCCAGGCAAGCAAGGGCCAAGGAGAGGACTTGATGCAACATGGACACTCACCAACGCGAAGCTCACGATCGGCAACAATCACGTATCGGATGGGCTCGGTGTACTGCAACAGCCAGAAGCAAAAAGGGGTTCAAGCCCACGAACCATGAGGTGCGATGCCCTTTGCACCAACCACCAACCACCGGCCCCCACCACGTGCCACTCTTTGTCTCTTGGCCACTTGAAAAAGAAAAAAAAAAAAAACGCCATCTGACGCGATGCCGTACCTGCATGCCGATGGAACGCTCGTGGGTGTAGCCGATGATATTGTTGTACAGGAGGACGGTGGTACGGGGGCGTGTGTTGAGAAGGGTCATGATGGCTTCCTTTTCCACCTCATGGAGCAAAACGTCGGCAAAGGGGATCACAAGGTGAAAGTGGCAGACGCCGCGCTGCGCGGCCCATTCGGGCATCGACTTGTTGGTGGGTGACAAGGTCTGACGACTATCCAACACCACCGCGAGGTTGCAGGGTGCAAGGCCATCCTGACTAAGCGGCGAGGTCAAAATCCGATCCGGCCGCTCAAAGGGCGCACTCGGGGCCCAATCGGCCGGCTGCAGATACGCCAGCGCCGACGGCCAGGCCACGCCCAGCCCGAGCACCAAGAGACGCAAGCACCACACGCCCCTCGTCATCATCTCGATAATCTTCTGCAAAATGTCCATCACATCTATACAGTAACACAACCTTATTTAGCTTGATATCTGCAACAACCTGCATTTAGAAGACTCAAAGCCATCCGTCAGCAAAAGATGACGGATCTGCTTTTGCATATAAATGTGTGCATGTGTGCAAGCCACCCACACAATAACGTTAACCTTACTAACCTTACTAACCTTAACCTTTTAACGTTGGTCCCACCTGTCATGTCATGTGTGATCGCTACGACATAAAAATGCTGACAACCTTGAATAAACATCTGACAATGAGATGTTGAAAACATGTGTTTGATTTTTGTGGTGCTCCTGCTGCTCCTCCTCCTGCTCCTCCTGAAGCTCTGTTGAAGCTGTTGAAGCTGTTGAAGCTGCTGAAGCTGCTCGCTGTTGAAGCTGCTGAAGTTGTTGAGGCTGCTGAAGCTGCTGAAGCTAATCGCTGTTGAAGCCAGATGTCTCTTAGCCCCCGCCCCGCTCTTCAAGCATGCGCATGATGCTGGTCCACAAACCTGATCCAGTTTACTGGAACATTTCGTCTTCGGTAACACCATATAATTCTACGTCTACTTACACAGAGCTCATCATTCAACCTACAATAAGTATCATTTTCTCTACAATAACCTCAATAGAGTCCTCTTGTCCAAAATTGGCGCTGAGAGCATAATTTTGAACTTTTTCGTTCCGCCCCCTCTCTCTCTCTCTCTCAATCTCTCTCTCGACGATCTCGCTCGACGATCTCTTTTTCTCTCTCGATCTCGTCTGCGCTGCGATCGGGGGTTCAAGCTGCGGCCCCCTACCCCAGTTTTCTCGTGCTGAGTGCCATGTACATGCCCGCTCCTCTCTCTCCTGTGTGCCATCTTACTCCTCCTCCTCACTTCGCTCGTGTATGGCCTCACTCTCTTTCGATCTCACACTCTCGTGCGCGCATGCCCTCTCCTCAGTTTCCTCCTGTTGAGTGCCCTCTAGCTCCTTCTTCCTCGCTTTCCTCTTGCCTCGAGCTTCATCTGGCGCAGCTCCGAGTAGCCTGGTTCTGCTCAGCCTCCGTCTGCCTTTTTCCCAAGTGCCCCCACTCCACGCAAGTGCAGAAAACAAGACTGAAGCCTCGCCGCAAAGTGGACCCCATGGCCGGCTGGTTTGGACGGTTAGGATAAATGGATGGGGCAGTGCTGTTTGCCGCGAGATCTCAACTAGTGGGCTTGTCTTGTGCCCAGGCTGGCACATCTCACCATGGTCACGGTGTTCCGCAGCCCGGCTCGCCGCCAGAACGAAGCAGCCACCACGAACCAGGATGGCTTGGACTTGTTTGCCGCCTGTCAGGCTGAGGACTCTCAACCCGCCATGTCCCTGCTGACCAACTGGTCTGATGAGCAGATTGCAGCCGCCGTAAAGTACAGGAATTCGGTGAGTGACGGCAAATCGATGTTGATGCGAAAGCCAAGGATATCGTACGTCTCGCCGTCAGGTTGGAAAAGATTTTGCCTAGCTCATGGCACCCGCCACGGCTACGGATAGACTGATTGGACAGCTTTGCGCTGGGCCTGCTGCAAGGGTCATGTCGACGTGGCTCGCATCCTGCTGGCATTTCAAGGGGCCCGGGAAGACTTTGATTCAATCTATGTCCGTACAGGCTTGCACGTCTCAAAATGGACGCCCTTCCTCTCATCCCCGACCGACTCCCTCCCCCTTTAAATCACGATGGTCGGTTGTCACCATGCCCATGCTCATGCTTGTGGCTATGTAACCGATAGGGAACAGACTCGCTGCTGCATCGGGCATGCAGCGCCGGCCACGTCGGCATCGTGCGCTTGCTCCTTGCCCGCGACGATGTTGATGTGAACGCCGAGGATATCGTACGTCTCGCCGTCACCGTCCCTGCGTCGTCTGCTTGCTGTTGGGCTTTCATCTTTCCCTCGTCTTTTCGCCGCGGCTGACGCTGGGACGGCCCCCTAGTATCGCAACACACCCTTGCATATCGCCTGCACCCACGGTAACCTTGACATTGTGCGCCTGCTCCTTGAGAACACGGGCTTGAACACAGAGCCCAAAAACCAGGTATGGGCGCCGCAAGGCAGGACCCCCGCGCCTTGCACCACCACTGACATCGGCACCATGCTTAGGGCGGCCGGACCCCCCTCGATGTGGCCACCTCAAACCTCTTCCTCTCATGGCCGCGACTCATGCACGAGCGATCCCTGCATACCAAACCACGCTTGAGTGTCCTGGTGAGTGTTGGCTGGCATCAAGAGCCGCAACTGTTTTCCCAAGAAGTTCTGTCATCTCTCTGCCGCCATCCGTTGTGGAACTCCTGAATCAATGGCCAGACGTCAACCCCGTGCCCCTTTACCCTTGTCCTCAACCCTCGTCAAACTTGACTCTGTTTGCAAACGCATTAAAGAAGGTAAGAAAGACCATGGAAATCATCGTAATGACAACTAGATCAGGTGCTGGCAACACCAAGAATTTGCAACTTTGGTCAATTATGCATTTCTATACACGGATGAAGTCTGGATGGGGTCGTGCCGAAGATGCAACCCAAAAGCTTGAGCCCTCCAAAACGCCCTATCAGGCCTATCAGGCTCGCAGCTACAAGCGCAGGCACTGGCATCGCGACAAATAACATTAATACTTCTCTTAAAACCTCAGATTAGCTTGCTATGTTCATTCATGTGCGGGCATTTTCGGTCAGAAATATCGGGACATCTTGGTGCAGAAAAGCTAGGCCATCGAGGAAGCGTTCAGCGATCCTTGCAGAGGCTTGACCAAGTCTTTGTCGTCCTTGCCCAGAGGCTCCTGTTGACACAACCAAGAAAACGGTCAGCAAGCACAAACACCTTGGTCGCATACCCACCGCTACGAAGACAACCCCCAACGAGGATGGGTCACTCTAAGACCTACGCCATAGAGGTTCTCAAGAACGTTGGTCAAGACGTCGTCCAGTGTCTTGGGTGTCGGCCGAATGCTGGGAGTCGCTTTCCAGCATTGCTTCATAACCTGCCCGAGCAAAACCATGCCCCATGAGCATGCGACTTCCGCTGTAAACTATACTCGGCCCCGCAACTTACCCTGTAGACTTGATGAGGGCAGTCATCAGGCTGCAGGAGCAATGCAGACTGCTTTGTGACAATCTGAGCAATTTCCGCGTGCGCATAGCCGGGCCAGGGGCGACGCCCATACGTGAAGAGCTCTACAGAAAAAGCACCGGATGCACGCCGCAATGAATGAGCATCACACGCGCGCATGTTCAATGACCAAGCAGCTTACTGCCACTTCAACGTACCCCATAACAGAACCCCAAAACTGTAGATATCACTCTTGACGCTCGGCCTATGCACAGTCAAACCCGGAATTTAAAAAAAAATCGCCATGAGCCCCCATACACGTCCTCGAGGCCCAGAGCACTAGCAAGCCACGCACTGGTTGTCCGTGATGACTTCAGGTGCCTACGATGAGCAAAAATACATGGCAAACGTGACCAGCTCTTTGTGAGAGGGAGGCGCGCGTGTGTGTGCGGGCTTTTACAAGGTGCAAAATATGCTTCGACCCAACGCACCATCCAACGAATTGGCAGCGATTCGACGTCACGAGCCATGCTCTCTGGTGTGTTGGCAGCTTCGACCAAGCGAGCATCGCCAAAGCCTCCCAGCACCGCGCTTCCGTGTAGCGCAATGTACACACTGTCGGCTTGAATGTCTGTCAAGACGCCGAGCGGCACCCCCAGACGGATGAGAATGAAGGAAGACGGAAAAAATATGATGCAAGCAAGGACTCCGGCTGAACAACATACTATTATGAATGACGCCTTTCTCTTCGAGAAAAGAGAGCGCGTCAACCACGTCCAAAGCATACTCGAGCAGCTGGCACTCGGTCACGCTCGAGGGGCAATCAGGCGTGGGTCGGTTGCTTCGAAGGAATGTTGACAATGAAGATCGCACCGGTTCAACAATGACAATCCATGACTCGAGATTGAAGCTGGTGCCGACCAGGCCAATCAAGCTTTCGTGACTCAGCTTGACGAGCATTTGAGCATCTTTGACCATGGCCTAACCCGCCACAAACCATTGTTGTGCAATGGCGATCAGCACACACACGCAATCAGCCCGTTGGAGATGGCAAGCGGATGAGGCCTGAACGCACCAATTTGACAGACTCATCTGCCGGCTGAGCCAGTACAAAGCAGCTAAAGACGTCCTGGGAAACGCTAGGATCGTCAAGTTCGTAATCAGCCACAGCGACGCGCGTCTCCTGATCGCTGGCAGCTGCCAAAAAGCAGCGGTGAAGCTTGATCTGCCCGAGCTCGCACACGGTCGTGGTGTCAATCGCAATGCGACCGCGCGAAACTTCCCAGTCCTTGAAGCAGTCTACAGTGGCAGTCCGACCAGAACAAAAAAGCAAAAAGCACCATCAAGGCTCATGGTGACGCAACGGGGAACAACCCACACCAGGTGACGAAGTTTGACTACAAACCGAGATCAACAGCAGGCACGTTGGACTCGCCCTTGCGGGTTGAATAGCGTCGAGCAAACAGGAACAACAACACAATCACCACGCACACGGCCACCACCACAACCACAAGACTCGAGATACGCAGAGCAGTTGCTCTATCTTCCCCAGTTGCCGCGTTCGTGTCAATGGTCGTCGTCGGCTCGGGTGACGGTGAAATGCGGGCAAAGGAGAGCTGAGTGCCATCACTATGTGCGTCAAGAGGATGGCAAACGGATACAGTCATGGGGTGTCAGCATGATCCCAAGCCAGAGCAGTGCGGTGCGGACACCTTTGGCCACCTTGTTGGACCCGACGCGAGCAAGACTCAAAGGAGGGCATGGGTCAACTGCTGCAAAGAATCGACCCACCTCCAAGGACCAGTGCCATGCACATTTATGAAACGAGCAAAGGCTGTGTAGCCTGGGTCGAGGTCTTGAAGCACAAAGTTCACCGCGTGATCTGCAAGCGGATTGCTCAGAGGCACTTTGCGTTCAAGAACGGCGATTCGACTGTCCGTCGAGTTGATCCAAATCCTAAGTCATCAAAACATTGACCACAACGGCAATGAGAGACGAGCCGGAGAAAGCCCGGAGCCAATCTTGCGGCAATGAGGAGAGAAGGAGAAGAAACACAAAAAAAGGACGGGTGGGACGCACTCGATAGCAACCACACTAGGATCGTCCACCCCTGGCCATTCGACGTCGATGCCAGCTTCACCAGCAAAAAATGATAGTTTGGGGGCTACAGTGGGAGCTGATATCGGGTACAGGTGAAGCATGAACGCAGATCATGAGAAGCTGGTCTGCGAGCAAGCGAATAGACGAGGCACCTCGGGGTCGTGAAGCCACATGGGCCTCAGCACGGATATCAGTACCTGTGGAAGGAAGAAAGTAGGTACCAACACTGCCAAACGGTCCCACCCCGCCCATGGACTCTAGGGCCGCGGTGATCCGCAGGCTGGAGTCGGTGGGCAACTGGCAAACGAGATCGGAAAAGTAAAAGACGAGGTTCGCAACGTTGGTAGAGCTGTTAACGGTGACCCGAGGCGAGTAGGCGGCGCCTTCGACGAGCAACGTGTCGTTTGTGGTGCTACGGAAACAAAAGCACAAGGTCGACAGGAGAGGTACGTGAAAATTGGCATCGAGACAGACTGGCAAAATAAAAAAAGAGACCAACCCTACTACGTGCAAAAGGGAAAGCGCTCGTACCTGTAGGCGCGCACGCGTACGCCCAGCGGCTCGCCGCGCCACACTTGTGCGGTCATGTTGAAGAGGGAGACGTTGAGACATCCCAATTGAGCAGAAGGAGCCAAGACAAGCGAGTGGGGTGGGTGCACCGGGGCTATTCGGCAAAGATATGGAGTAGGGGTTGGTGCCAGCAAAGATCAGCTGTCTCATGAGAGTGAGGGCATGGGAAGACATGACACGCCTGCTGCACTTACGCAAGCCTACAACATGAAAGATCAGAGGGGCGCTGGCCCGAGGCAAACACGTGGACGTTGTCTCGATGACATGACACATGGTCATGGAATGGGGATACAGACCCACGAGCGTAAAGCTGATGGTACTGCCCGTGCCCGTGGCCACCAGCTGGAGAATCAGGGACATGCGCCCAACACCCAGAGTAAGAAGAAAGCAAAAAGAGACCTCTCGATAGGGAACTTGCAGCCAGCTTACGTTGATTGTTTGGCAACGTGAGGCGGGCGGAGCGCAGTTGTAGCAGGTGAGGTTCACACGACGAGCGCCTGCAGCAATCTGGAAGCGCTCGCCAACGGGGAACCACAGGTCGGCAGCCACCGTCACATTGCCATACGGCATGTCAGGAAAGGCCTGGATCGTGGGTTTGAGATTCTCGATGAAAATACTGGGTATGAGCTGAAGCTGAGTGATCATGCGAAGGATCGCTGTGGGGATGTATTCGACAGGAGTGCCCTCGAGTCGAGGCGTGACTCCCAGACAGACATCCTGGGCGGCTAAATAAAACATGTGCACAAGGAAGGCATGCATTCGTGAGACATCCAGTGTGGTCCCCGCTTTAAGAAATCCCAAGTATCCATCCCCGCTTGACAGGCAGAACAAAGCACGAACAGCAGGTAAACTTGAGGTCGATGGAGCCGATCGGGGACCCAGTCACATCAAACTTGGTCCAAGGCGTTTGGGTCGTGATGGACTCAAACCCATTCAAGTTGACCGTCTATAGAGTGGTGCGAAGCGCATTTGTTGACGCGTTGACCAAAAAAACCGGCTGGGCCCCGCACCATAGCAAGAGGGATCACCCTGATCAAAGGGTCAGAGCCAGACCAGTCGTATCCTACCTCGCGAAACATGGTCACGAGAGCACTGCCACCCATGGCGGCATTGGCCTCGCTCGTGTTGTGCTGGATGCGCCGCATGCCCCCGCCACGCTGGAAAACGGCGATGGATGGCTGATACTGACTCCATATGGCATCGTAAATGTCTGTCGGGTCCGAAGGAAGCAGAAGGTATGAATGCCATAGATCCGCGCGAAGATGGTTACACACGCAAAGATAGTCACACAGAGTCAGGCAAACCATGAGTCTGAAGGATCAAATGGCTTACCGCCACGTTTCGTTTTTACCGTTTCGCTCATGTCCATGATGCTAAAACCATTGGTAGCAGCAAACTGGGAAGAAATCCAATAGCCGATGGGACGACAGCCCACGGGGTGGATGTCGGAGATGAGGCGATAAGGGATGAGAAACTCGCTAGCGGATTGGGGTGGTGCGAGTATATTGGCCGTGGGCTGGTAGGCACCGGTGGGCTGCACGGGGATGATCGTGGTGCAATCTGAATTTGAATGAACACGATCAAAGACGACAAAAAAAAAAAAAAAGGTGACAGCAGATGAGCTTGGGCTTGCTTTTTGACCGTCGTGGCGCCGCAAGAGCGCCTCACTCACCGACTTGCAGACAGGGACGGAAGGCGGCGCCTGGGTACCGTGAACTATTTGTGACGCAGCCACATGCGTCTGCCCACTCTGCTCCACCTGCAATGTAACAGCCAGCCTGTCCGGGAAAGTCAGTCTCACTGGTTCCAACGGTGCATCCCTGTGTCAGTGCATACGTGAGGACTGGAGACAGGCTGAACACAGGCTCGGCCGAGAGCTTTCACAAATTGGAGGCGCTTGTTACGAGATGAAGCCGGGGTGAAGACGACGGACCTGTACCGGGACGCTGGTTTCACCGGATATGGCGGTACTGGAGCAAGAGCAGGCATCTCTCGGGATGCACATGTTGATGAGCGGCTCAAAATAGCAGCTGCTGGAGGCCCCGCCACAGTTGGGTGCTGAGTAGAGGGAGCACACGGGTTTGGCATTTTTGTCGTGGCATATACCCAGCTCGTGATCATAGGTACAAGCGTCCCCGGGACAGGAAGTGGGACTTTGCTTGGTCCAGTGATCGCAAGGCACGGTTCCCACAGAGCAATTGGCAATGCCATCGACAAAAGAGCAAGAGTCGAAGACAGCAAAAGAGTTGGTTGTATCCTCTACGAAAGTCACGCATTGCCCCAGCTGGAGAGGGCATGGGGTCCGCATTCAGCATGTGTACGAGAGAAGCAGGGCCAAGTCCTGTGTTGGGGTCTTCCGGCACACGAGCAGGGTGGCCGAGATGGCGGGTGCGCAACGAACCTCGAGGACCCTCGCTTCAACGGGATGGATGTTGAAGGCGTTGATGCAGGTGGGTTCCGAGTGCAAGGTCATGTCAAATTCGAAGGACACGATCGTGGTACGACCATTGCGCAGGCGCACGGAGAAGCTGGTATCGTAGGCGTCATCGGGGTCTTCGGTGGCGAGAGCCACGCAACTGGAACCCTCGTTATCGAAGCGCACCTCCTTGCACTGGGCGGCACTAGGCAGAACTTCGCAATAGTGCGTATTCCAGACGCAGAGCCAAAAGGTCGGTGTGTGATCGCAGATACCACAGGTGACGGCACAAGAATTGGCAAAAGTTTGGTTTGCGCAAAGGCCAGAAGCTTTGCCAATGGCACACAAAACAGGGCTAACATCGACGCAGTAGTCGGCGTAGACTTGCGACGCTTGAAACAGGAGGCATGCCAGAACAATCCAACTGGCGAGTCTGCGATGGCAAGACGTGCCTCGCGACATCCTGACGGTGGACCCAGCGGACAGCAGGTGTCGAAAAGGCCGTCGAGTGGTTGACGAGCCAACCTCCTGCAAACGAGCCGAGAAGTCGACGAGACAAGCCAGACAAGATGTCGTCAGCCATGGGAGACCAGCGCCACAGCACGGTCATGAGCGACAGTGACGAGCAAACCGGCTACCACGCCAGATACCACCACCCCGCCTTGACCCTGACGCTGACACTGACACTGGCCCTTTTTCCCCATGTCTGCCACCCCCCTCGCGCACCCCACGCGGCCAACAACGCCCGAAAGCCCAGCGAGCCGACTCGGTTGGCAGGGCCAGCACAAACCCCCCGCGAGCCACAAACCGCAGCGCCCACGTACCCAATCAGTCAATTCACCACCACCACCGCCACCACCGCTGCCGTATCCTCACAGCAAAGCAGAGAAAAATCGTGTCTCTGGCTCTCTCTCCCTCTCTCTCTCTCTCTCTATCTCTCTCTCTCTCTCTCTCTCTCTCTCTCTCTCTCTCTCTCTCTCTCTCTCTCTCTCTCTCTCTCTGTGCGCGCACTGCCGTTGATGCCCGCGCGTCAAGTAAAATTAAAAATACATCCGGATGTAAAACCAAATCGTGCCCTC